ACTACACCAAACGGAAATGCCCACACTGTGGATCCAAATGAGGTAGCACATGCTGACAGGCTTGCAAAAATTAAAGGGATACTGTCAGGGGAGACTTCTATTCAGCTGACATTGCAATTTCTATATAGCCACAACAGGTAAAGCAATTATTTCTTGCTAAATGGTGGCAACTGGCCTTGAGCATATGCCTTTTCCACCTGATACTGATGTGGTGTGGTTGGTTGTTTCAACAGATCTGATCTTTTAATTCTGAAGACAATAAAGCAGGCTGTGGAAATGAGGAATAGCGTTTGCCACAGTGCAACCATATGTGCCAATGCAATCATGCATGCGGGAACTACTGTAGATACCTTTCTAAGAGAGAACCTGGTATATGTTTTTTCTACTTGCCTCTGCATTAATTTTAGCTGTTGCACTGTTTCATGTTGCCATTGTGTTCCAGGAGTGGTTAAGCCGGGCAACCAATTGGGCGAAATTCAGTGCAACTGCTGGACTAGGTGTCATTCATAGAGGCCACCTTCAACAAGGCCGGGCTTTGATGGCCCCCTACCTACCTCAAAGTGGTGCAGTTGGCGGTGGCAGTCCATATTCAGAAGGTGGTGCCCTCTACGCACTAGGTCTGATTCATGCCAATCATGGTGAAGGAATCAAACAATTCCTCCGTGAAAGTCTTCGCAACACCAGTGCAGAGGTGATTATTGTTTATTTCTGTCCTTTTGTTTTGTTATTCATTTCATGCATATTGTGCTAACTCCATCCCCCAATGTCATACAGATCATCCAGCATGGTGCATGTTTGGGGCTTGGGCTTGCAGCTTTAGGCACAGCAGATGAGGAAATATATGAGGACATAAAGAATGTCCTTTACACTGACAGTGCTGTTGCTGGTGAGGCAGCTGGTATTGGCATGGGCTTGCTCATGGTTGGGACCGCCAGTGAGAAGGCTAGTGAGATGCTTGCTTATGCACATGATACGCAGCATGAAAAGATTATAAGGTTGGTGCTGTTTGATTGCTGTACAGTGCATATGCACTTGATCTCAAGAACAATTTTCTGACAATTCTCTCTTTCTCCAGGGGTTTGTCACTGGGAATTGCATTGACAGTATATGGCAGGGAAGAGGAAGCAGACACCTTGATTGAACAAATGGCTAGAGATCAAGATCCCATATTACGTTATGGTGGTATGTATGCATTGGCTCTAGCCTACAGGGGAACTGCAAACAACAAAGCCATCCACCAGCTGCTGCATTTTGCTGTATCAGATGTCAGTGATGATGTTCGGAGGACTGCAGTTATGGCTCTTGGATTTGTTTTATACAATGAGCCTGAGCAGGTTTGTGGAATACTGGAATCAGTCGCCAGATTGCATTATCTTATTTATTAGATGCCTTTTGCCTAAATCTGTTTCGTTGATTATCATACATGAAATTTGACCCACAAGCATTAATCCCATTTTTTAACCCGCACATTACATCTGTTGTATTTTTGCAGACTCCAAGAATCGTATCCTTGCTCTCTGAATCATACAACCCACATGTTCGCTATGGTGCAGCGTTAGCTGTTGGGATATCATGTGCAGGGTCTGGATTAAGTGATGCAATTTCCTTGTTGGAGCCTCTTACATCAGATGTTGTTGACTTTGTGCGTCAGGGAGCTCTCATTGCCATGGCAATGGTAATGATCCAAACGAATGAATCCTTTGATTCTCGTGTTGGAGCATTTAGGCGTCAGTTGGAGAAGATCATTCTTGACAAACATGAGGACACCATGAGCAAGATGGGTGCCATACTAGCTTCTGGTATCCTCGATGCTGGTGGTAGGAATGTTACAATCAAGCTCCTCTCAAGAAACAAGCATGACAAACTCACTGCTGTGGTTGGTCTTGCCGTTTTCAGTCAGTTCTGGTACTGGTATCCTCTCTTGTATTTCATCAGCCTGGCCTTCTCGCCAACAGCCTTCATTGGGCTCAACTCTGATTTGAAAGTGCCAAAGTTTGAGTTCCTATCACATGCTAAACCGTCTCTCTTTGAGTATCCCAAACCGACAACTCAGCAGACTACTACTTCAACAGTGAAGCTGCCAACAGCCATTTTGTCAACTTATGCGAAGGCAAAATCTAGGGCAAAGAAGGACGCAGAAAGCAAAGCTAACCAGGAGAAGGCCACAGAAGAGGCTTCGGGTTCTACCTCAAGCAAGGCGGCTAAAGTTCAGGAGAAGGATGCTGATGCAATGCAGGTAACAACTATATGTCTTTCTCTTCATTGTGTAAACATCCATGGGCAGTGGCGGACCTATGATTTTTTCATGGGGTAAGCCGCAACAATATTTCCACTTGTAATTCAGTAAAACACATTTAGGAAATTGATAAACAATCAAAGTATTTGCCCCACGGTACACGAATACTAAATAACACAATAAGACTCAAATTTACTTTTTTTTTCATATCTCAATCCCTCTTCATAATTCAACAAAGTACATAATGCACCAGCAATGTACCCATCAATCAATTTAACTAATTCACAGCTAAATATATCTACATCTAGGCATCTAATCATGTTATATACTGTCACCTAGGGGCTAGGGTTTGCATACCTTGGGAAGTCTCCACTGATCATGGCAGCCCAAAAATTCAATGAACTTACTCAAACTAGAAAAAAAAAGTATTTTTGAAAAGCCACTGCAGTGCCAGTGAAGACCACTGTGATAAGCTCATAAACGATCAGTGTATTTTTTTATTGGAGATTTGGTTATAATTTACTGCCATGATCTATAATCCAAATGAATTTGCTATTTTACCTAAACTGGCTTGGAGCTATTTGAAGTTACACCGTAAACTTAACTGACTCAATCTTTGTTTCAAGGTTGATAATGCCACTGAGAAGAAAGCTCCTGAACCAGAAGCAACCTATCAGCTCCTGACAAACCCAGCTCGCGTGATCCCTGCCCAGGAGAAGTTCATCAAGTTCCTTGAAAACAGCCGATACGTCCCTGTGAAACCAGCGCCTTCTGGATTCATCCTCCTCCGAGACCTGCAGCCCACTGAGGCTGAGGACCTTGCACTGACCGATGCTCCCACAACCGTTGCAGGAAGCACCGGCAACACTGCCCCTGCTGCAGGCCAACAGGGGTCCGGATCATCCGCCATGGCTGTCGACGACGAGCCACAGCCGCCGCAACCCTTTGAGTACACCTCATAAGCGTAGATGCCTGGGTCTTTTGTTCTTTTTTTAACCCTTTGAGTATGTAGTGTGCGGAAATTTGTTGTTAGTTGGAAGACTTTTTGTAGAAACATGAGCAGAGAATTTTACTTGAATTGGCACTATAGGGTCAACGTTGGAAATCTGGGATATCACCTGGGTCAATCCCTGCGCTCCTGCTTGCTCTCTTTTTTTTCCTGTGATGTAATATGCTCAAGTATTTTCCCTGGAACACAATTTTGCCACGGTTTCATTATCTGTTGCAATGCTGGTATTGCACAAATGTTGACGCTGGGCACCTGTGAGCATATACTTGTCTGTTTCCTGCTGAATTCTATGTGCGTTCTATCCTGTCCCTGATCTACCTTCGTAATATGGAGCTTTAATGCAACACGGCGTCAAAAATACACAGTTTCGGGGTCCAGCCTTGCTAATGTGAATGTAGCATTCTTGTCCTCGTCACGCCAATGTAAACAGACGCTGGTCCCGGTGGCCCGCGCGTCGCTTCCGCTGCGGAACACCGCACCCCGCGCGCTACGCCGATAGGTTCGTCGGCAAGGCTCTGGACGCTGCTCCAACAAGGCAACAACCAACATGCTACTGCTACCGTCGAAGAAGTGATTTTGTGTGAGACCGGAGTCAGCGGAAGACGAAACCACTGAAGTCCTGAAAATCTTGCTTTGGATCAGTACGAGCTGTTGGATGTGAAATGGAGGGATGAGATGAGAGCTAAGTTGCTGCTCTCCAGCATCAGAGAGGGCGGCGAGCCACCGCCCACCGACCAGACTGTTCGCTTGGGCGGGGTGCGAGGGAAAAATTGGCTGAAAAAGTACCGTTTCTAAGCCAGCCCAAGCCAACAGGGTGGCTGCCAACCGCCGCCGCCGCACTCGCGTCTCCGCGAGTCCGCGTGCTTCGGCCAGGCCGCCGGCTGCCGAGCTGCGCACTCGCCGGTTCGCGGCTTCTCGTCCTCTTGCTGTCCTGTACTCTGCCAGTCTGCCTGACCTCTAGCTACAGGTAACTGGGTATTCTTCAGTTCCCAATCTTTTTCCCTATTCTTACTAGGTATTTTGGTATGATTTTGCTAGATTGAAAATCAAACTGACAACATGTGATTTCTTAGTTCTTATTACTAGATCTTGTCATTTCGCTCCCTAAAATTTGCTTCACCCTCCGCCACTGGTGATTTGGTTGGAATGAAGGAGAGGATGAAGCTTCCTAAGACCTTCGAGTTCGAACCCTCCCTAACTGTCGCGGAAGATTTGGATGAGTATGCTAGACTCGGGTGGTTTACTCGTGATAGGGTTAGGTGCTCTGGTGGTGAAACGGAGCCTCGGCCGAAGACCGGTGAGGCCGTGGTGTATCGTGATTATTTCGTTGCGGGGCTTCGCGTTCCTACACATCCCTTTGTGGATAGAGTTTTGGAGGTTTTTGAGGTTCAGCTGCATCATTTGACTCCAAACAGCATTGTGAATTTGTCCAAGTTTGTTTGGGCCTGTCGGACCTTTGGCGCGGAGCCGGACTTGGATTGCTTCTGCAAGTATTACGAACTTCACAACCAGGGCCCGAAGAAGGTTCTGATTGGTGCGGAGGAGAGGCTTAAGGATGGTCAGTATGCTCGATGCATGTTTCATCCCCGTCGCACGCTTGGGGGACATACAAAGGTTGAACTGTCCTATGCTCAGCGTAACCGCTGGGACGATGATTGGAACCGTCATTGGTTTTATATCAGGACTGCTGGTTTGAAGCGAAGGGATAAGGGTGGGAAGGAGAAGGACTTGGTGCGATATCCGTTGGCTTCGTCGATGGGTACCTTTAGGCCGAAGAGCATTATACCACCGGTGAAGACCTCTTTGCAAGTGGCATGTGAGAAGGCTTTTGACTTGGCGTCTCGTGTATGCTCTGGTCGAGATTTGGTGGAGGAGTTTCTTGCTGCTGGGATTTACCCCCTAGGTCGAGATACCTGGACGGATTTTACTTTTGAGAAAATGGAACTTCGATATCTTGACGAAGGCGTGCCTATGCCGTTTCCTCGGTTTGGTTTGAGCAGGCCTAAGTCTGAAAATAATGGTAAATTTGTGCGTCGCATAGAGGAAGAGGCCAACAAGATCCTTGGTGACTATTCTGACAAGGAACATGCCGCCCGAGTGGCTGTACTCGGTACCTGTCCGAGGCTAAATAGGGTTTTTGAAGAGATGAAGGTGACATATTCTGAGCGGCCTGTTCCTGAGAAGTTTCGGCTTAGGGAGCAGGCGGCCTGTTTGTGCAAGGAGAATACCTCTGGAACCTCTGGAGGTTCAAAGCGCAAGGATCTGTCGAGGAAGTCTGTAGCTTATTGTAAGAGGGTTAAGAGTTTGGATGCTGGGCAACATAAGGCGAAGTATCTATCTCCAACATTGTCTCCGGTTGCTGAGTTGGCCAAGGATGGGGAGGCCGAGGATACCGATCTGTGCAGCGGTGGTGATTCTTTGGATAATAACGTGGCTGGATTAGTTCGTGAATGTCGTTTGCCTTCTGTGTTCGATGATGACGTTGAGGACATGGAATTGATTGATGATGATGACTCGGGGTTAGTTACTAGCACTTTGCAAGAAGCTATTGCTGAAGAGAAAGAAGATGTGGACCCCATTGGTGATGCTGATCCGAAGATCGCTGCAGTAGCTTCGGTTGAAGTGGCTGCTGCTATTGACGTGTCAGGCGCTGCTCTTTCCAGCCCTTCTTCCAACCGAGGTAACGGGGCCCATCTTCTTCTGGCAGTTCTGGAGAGGATTCTAGCACTTTTTCTAGCTTGGGAGATTTTGACTCGAGCTACTCTTCAGGGGTTGTGGTGGAGGCTGGGGGCTCTACACCAACTGATTCTGCTGGGGTTGCTGGAGCAAGTGTGATGCCTAAAGTTCCGGCGGCGGGCGCGGACGGGGTTGGTCATGGCATTGTTGAGGAACAGGGGGTTCGAGCTTCCTTCAAAGGTGAATAATAGACTTTGGTTTAGACTTGTTTGGATGTTTTTGCCTGCTTTCCTTACTTGATTTTGTTTGCATTAGCAGGTGATCATGAAGGTATTCCCAAGAGAACTAGAGCTGATGAGGATATTGGGACGCGTCTGTTACAGACAAGACATGGTATGTGTTTCGTTGTCTTTGCTATTGGGGTGGGGGTTTCACAACATTGGTTGTAGATGCTTCTTACACGGTTCTCTGTGCACCAGCTTTCGAAAGTTACTTGGATAGCTTGTCGTGTGATGATATTCTTCGCCTTACCCATGAACATGCTTACCAGGTGGGCTGGCTTTGGCCTGTCGTTCATTTTTTTTCTTTGGTTTTCGTGTTTATTATTTCTAAAATAAAAAAGAGGGTGTTTCACTTGCAGACTTCTGTCATGGCTAACTATCTGAAGGTTAAGGTTAAGGGTGCACTTGATCTTCGCAACCAGAGTTTGTCTGGCCTACAGGATAAGGTTACCTCCCTTGAGGGGGAAGTTGCACAGCTTCGCGAGGACAAGGCCGGTCTGGAGAGGTCTCTGAAAGATAAGGAGAGCGAGAATCAAACTGTCCTGCAGCTTGTTCGCAAGGATTATGAGGCCGCATGCAGAGACAAAACCTCACTAGAGAAGGAGCTTGAGAAGATGCGGGATGCTGCGATTGTTAAGTCGACTGACCTTTCCAAGAACCTCGAAGAGAAGGTGCTGGAGCTTAATTATTTGAATGATGAGAAGACTAAGCTTGAGGGCCAAGTTCGTGATAAAGAGGATGTGATTGAGGACCTGCGGGCTCAGGTTGCTAAAGAGTCAACTGCATCTTTTGATCTTAAGAGCCGGGTTCAGTTTTTGGAAGACAAGATGGAAGCGACCAAAGTGCAGGGCCTGGAAGCTTCAACGCTGTATTGCCAGATGCTTCAGAGGTTTGGTGGTCTTGGCGGAGGTCCTTCCGACAGGCATCTATTGAGGATTTGTTTGCTTGGATGAAGTCTGAGTTTGCTGAGCTACCGGATTTTATTGGCAAGGTTGGGGACTTCGGAACTTTGTCCGGTGTGACCAACCTCTTATCTATGATGGAGAAATTTGGATGCGGGCATCTCCAAGAATTCTTGAAGAAGAGTTATGCGTTTCCGTCTCCTAACGAACTCGGCGAGCCATCAAGGACTGTGAATATTGCCCGGCAACGGTTCTTTCGGGAGTTTTGGGCTTCACACGGGAGAGACCACGCCCGAAGTCTTGCCGAGGCTCGTCAGGCGGAGGTCTGTTCTTTTCGTGTATTGCCGCTCCCCTTCAGTTGTTTGTTTGCGGTAGAAATTCTTATCCTATTCGGTTGTGTTCAGGTGAGGAAGGCTAAAGGGAAGATTGGAGAATCTACTTCTGGTGAAGATTTGAAGGATGAGCCCCCTACGGAGGTTTAGACTTTGGGATTTAGTTAGTGGGGGTGTATCCTTTGTGGATATTGGTGTAAATATATTTTGTAACTAGACTTTTAACCTGCGCGGGTTCCTTGCATCGAGCCTGCGCAGGAGGTGATGCCTTTAACTATGATGCGAGAATGGATTTTATGTGAATGGTGAACTTTGGTCACTTTATCATAGAGCTCTCCCTGCTCGAACATTTACCGACTTCTATGTGTGACTGTGAGTATGAATTTAATTGGCACCTGGTTGCATATCTTCGGTTGAACAGTGTGGTCTGTTTTCAGATGGCAGGACGACAGTATTCTGCCAACGCTTATACTCTCTCTATATGTACTGTACCCCAGCTTGTTAAAGAGTACTAGTTGGAGTTGCAGCTTCACCTTGTCAAAGCGTTTTGCGTCAAAATTGTGCGCGATCTCAGCTGAAACGACACCGGTGTGGCCCAGTGGCATTCTGCACAGACCACAGAGCACGAGCACCACCGATCGCGCGGCCTTGCCATCCTCTCGCGTGTCGTGGTCCAAGTCGGCCGTTCCGCGCAGGCGGGCCACGAGAGGAGGGCTCGCGACGGGCCGGCTGTGCGATCGCGTATCGGGCCTACCGCCTACCCATGCCGCGCGCGCGACGGCGTAAGTGCTCCCCACCGACCGTCCCCCTCCCTCCCTGTCTCGTTCGCCCCGTCTCCGTCGTGCCCCGGTTCAGCTTGCCGGGAGAGAGCGAGCGAGACAGACAGACGCTGGGCCCCGTGGCCCGCGCGTCGCTCCCGCTGCGGAACGCCGCGCCCCGCGCGCTACCCCGATTCCGCGCGGCTTGCACTGCGCGGGTCTGCGGCATGGGTCGTTGGGCCCGCGCCCCGCTTGACGCTGGCACCGCAGCTCTGTCCCCGCGGCCGTTCCCGCAACGAAATTTCTCGGCACGTTACTTCCCTAGCTAGTACCGTCCTCGGTTCCTGCCTACTTCCTTCGTCCCAAAAAATATTTAAATCTTAAGTATCGAGGCAAGATTAGGGTAGAGGCAAGATTACGCATGTGCCCCTCTAAAGTACTGATTTAAAGAAGCACTAGTTGCATCTGAAAAGTTCCACGTGAGTTCAAAATATTCTATTTTATTTACCAGGCAAACAATCGGGAAGCTTGTAGAAGAGAACGACAATGGATATGGATGGATGGGGATGCTCGCCGGTGGGTGCATGCGGTGTTTTCTTTTTCCGTAATAGGACGCTGTGTTTTTTTTTTAATTGATGGGTCCCACCGAAAAAGCTGATCTCAACTTGGGATTTCATATTTTTTTGGGACATGATTTGAATGGATTCCATATTTTTAGGGACGGAGGGATTACGTACGTGCAGCGACGTGCGTCGCGTAATCTTTATTGGCCCCGGAGAGGCAACGTCTCTTGTTCTGAGAAAGTGAGAAGCACCCTCGTCTTGTCAGCCTCAACGCGGGCAGCACTGCACAGGTCTCTGTCTCTCTTGTCCTCTCTATAGTCAAGGTCCCAAGGACGACGACACACAAGTCGTTCGCTTAGCAAAGGCTGCGGGCTGCCTGCCTCCCGCAACATGATCACATCTACTCCTCCGTCAAAAAAAAAAAAAAATCTAACTTCGAATCTGAGGCTGCCTTCGGCCCGAATCAACCAGATGCAGCGGCTCCCGACTTGTTCTCTACGTCGCGAGGATACCGCGTGTACTACGCGCTAAGGCCACGGTCCCTGCGCTGACTCAGACATCACAGCTTCCACCATCCACCCTCTCGTTCGGCATCGGCGAGCACCGAGCACATCCCAAGATGGTTTGGGGAAGGCGAAAATGACAATAGGGCCGAGCAAGGCCACGAGTGACCATTGCCGAGCATTCACACATCTTTATCTTTTCCTCTCGATGTCGACCTTCTTCTTAGCTTTTTCGAGGGTTTTCACATGGGACTCATGCATGAGTTCCCTGTTGCTATGCAAAACTCCTTCCTAGCATAGCAGTAGCAGCTTGTCATCGATTCGCACAATGTTTCCACAGAACACGTACAGTTCAATTACCAAAGGGTTTAGTTGGGATAAAAAAAAAATCCAGCGTCTCAAGCATTGATTTTGACCGAATTGAACCCACCACACATACTAGATTGGACCTAATTTGAGTGGCTAAAACGACAAGATCCTACGTGGCCATGCGACAGAGAACGAGATTACCATGTTCTAAAGATAAGGAAGGTTAAAATGAGGAATCACGCAAACTGTCTCCAGGCACACCCTTTTTATACTCGGCCACCCACAAGCTCAGTACTCGTTCAGAGACCACTCGCAAACCCCCGTCTCGTTCCGCTTCCGTCCCCAACTCCTGCGTCCGCTCTCGACACCGCAGCACGCCAGCACCGCCCGCCGCTCGCCGAGCACGCCTACGGCGCTGCAGCGCTCCAGTCCTCGCTTCCTGCCTGCTCTCGTAGGCGTCGTCATCGTCCTCTTGCTTCCGCCTCTGGAGTGGGTATCCGTCTGGACTTCGATTGAGCTCTCCTTTCGCGGGTAAGGAGGACTCTTCTGTTTGCCGTGATCCCTCGTCTTGAAATGCTACTTTGTTCTCGATGGATGCTTGATTCCGCTCAGTCCGTGGCGGATTATTTGCTTGGCGGAGTGCTAGTGGTAGCTTATTTGTCCAAAATTTCTGAGTGGGGTTCAAGTTCAGCCGAACCCCCATGCCCGACGTGAAGTTCGACCGTGATCATCAGCTTTCTAGGAACTGGAGTTCCTGTGTTGCTTCGCAGGCCATTTGACCATTTGTGTTTGAGCAAATGTTTAAAAACTTCTGAAACTTCGGCGGTTCGGCCGTACGTGTCGCTTCATGATGTATCCCCCTGTATGGCTGTATTCAGTGCTCTTCAGTCTTCCCTGAAGAATCAGCATTGCTTTACTGTATGGCGTATAATGGGAGCTCGTTGCCGATGTCCTATTCACATGAAATTTCTCTCAATTTAGCCATAAAAACTGGAACGGGCCCGTCTGCATTTATTTATTCAGCATGATGAGAACTTCTTTAACTACTTCGTGTGTTAGTCGCATCCCGTTATTAGTTTACTTTGCGCTCATCACAATGCAACTAATACTGCTCACTCAACTTACATATGGCTGTTCCTTTTCATTAGGTCATATGGTGCCATTGGAATCACAGATTGTAGTTGAGAAAAACCCTTCCACAAGTGCGGATGCCAAAGAGGTTATAGCAGTAGAGTCATGCTTGTTCCTTGTTTTCCTCTTCTTTGCTAAACATTAAGTTTGACTAACGGTAATGTTTCTTGTCTGTCAGCTTGTTTTGACAAAAGATCAAAACACATCCACCACTGTCGTTCAAGGTGGAAACTCCTTAACATCACCAACAGGTGTTCAAGAGGAGGCTAGCTTTATGGGTAAAGGTGGAGAACAACAGTTCGGCTACCAGCCCAATGTGTATGCCCCTCAGCCACACACACCCTTTTCTGGAGGTTAGACTACGTTTTTGTTTCTCTGTTTTGATGCTTACACCTACCTGTACATTGTTGCACGAGACAGCATGCGCTGATGCTGCATAGTATGGTTTAAAATCTGCCCCGCTTTCCTAAAAGACAATTTCACGCCCTTACCTCTATCCTGGTCTTATGGTAGGGCAGAATTACCTATTATTTGAGTTTTTGCTTTTTTTTTTCTTTTGGTTTTGTTAAGGTAGGATATTGTCCTGTTCATGATTTTCTACTTTTTAGCGCCCATGATAGTTTTTTCTGTGTGACGATCTAAGCTTTTGCTTTCATGATTTCATCTACAGGATACTTGAACCATTTGGGTCAATGGGAGGGATACCCATATGCTGTGAGTGCAGAGGGACTTGATGCTGCATACCCTGTAAGCCTGTTTCTTAATTTTCTTGGTCATGTTTACTTAAGTGATTTTACTGCAAAACTAGCTACTCATGTATCTCCTCAATATGCAAACAATTCACAGGTGATGTATGGAGCTTATTCCCCTTTGTCAGCCATTGGAGACAGCCAGACATATTTCTCTTTGCTCTGCCCCATGTCAAGCCCTTGCTACCAGACACCTGCTTCAAGCACGGGATATTCAAGTCCTGGTACTGGAATGTCACAATTTGATCCGATGCACCAGTATTACTTTCCTGACGAAGTTCATTACTCACCGACTACTGGCTTCTATCAGTCTTTTGGTTCTTTCAATGGAGGTAAGAATTCATTTTGTTGATATCTTTGTGGCTCTTTATAATATATGTAGAATTGAATTTCTGTTTTCATTGTCACATATTTTACTACATTATTCACATGCCATTTTGTGAATTTGTTGCAGTTCCAATGCAATCTAGTGGTGTTCCTGGATTTTTTGAGCAAGGAAACATACCCCTGGCTTCTAGAATGGTATGTGATCATTTAATTGCATTTTAACTTGTTCTTGTTAATCGATTGTATTAGTGTTTATGGTCCAAAGATGGTTCTATAACTAGATTTTATAGTTTCACTGCACTTTCCGTGCCAGTTATGTTGTTTTGGAACTAATAGCATGCATTCTTTTAGCATCAGGAATCCATGTCTAATTCTGGATCATACAAGGCATTCCAGCAAGGTGGTAAATTTGGAGGCAGTACACAAAGTTGGAGCACTGCTAGTTGCAGATTCGGCACCTTCAACAAGGGCTTCAAGAATGAGAAGGGCTCTCTTGACTTTCTGAATGAGCAATGCCGTGGCCCAAGGGCCACCAAAACACAGAAAGAAGTGGGGAGCTCTTCAGCTGAGGACAAAAATAAGAAGACATTGCCAATAGCTGATTCTGAGAAGTACAACCACCCTGGTTTTGTCACAGAGTACAAAGATGCCAAATTTTTTGTAATAAAATCCTACACTGAAGATCACATTCACAAGAGCATAAAGTATAATGTTTGGGCCAGCACTCCCAGAGGGAACAGGAAGTTAAATGCTTGTTATTGTGAGGCGAAAGAGAAGGAAGACCGTTGTCCCATTTTCTTGTTTTTCTCGGTATGGTTATTCACTTTACCGCTAGATTTTCTTTTTAATCTTTTGCTTTCTTGCGGACGGAGAAATAGAACAATCTCCACGCCTATGGGTGCCATATGATTTTGGCTAAGAGTCGGTCACTGTGCTCAAGATGCCTTATGAATTTATAACTATTTCTTTGCAGGTTAATAGCAGTGGTCAATTCTGCGGTGTAGCTGAGATGACTGGGCCTGTCGATTTTGACAAGAGTGTTGATTACTGGCAGAATGACAGATGGAATGGTCAATTCCCTGTCAAATGGCACATTGTTAAGGATGTCCCAAACAACATTGTCCGGCACATCATCCTGGAGAACAATGAGAACAAGCGAGTTACAAATAGCAGGGACACGCAGGAGGTACAACTGATGCACGTAGCCCCTATCTATCTTTGTGTTTCTGGGCAATTTTTGAACAATAGTTCATTAACTTGACAAGCTAACTTGCAGGTGAAACTGGAGCAGGGTCTCAAGATGTTAGTCATCTTCAAGAACCATAAAGCCGAGACAAGCATCCTTGAGGACTTCGAATTCTATGAGCAACGAGAGAAAGCTATGCTAGATGACAAGCAGCAACAGAAGCAACAGTGTTCCAAGACTGGGAAGCAGGTGCAGACCAGTGCACCAGTGGACATTGTGACTGGTATCTCGGACGCTTTTGCAGAGGCTGTCCAACTGGAAGAAACCAATGACAAAGAAAACAAACCAATGATTGAAGATGCTGCAGCTGCTGATAACGTTCCTGCTGCTCCTGTGACGATCGAAGAAGCCATGCTGAAAACAGCGGAAGTGGGAGGCCTCTTGAAAGAAAGCGGGTGATTGCTCGTTCTCCTTTCATGACTAATCCAGAGCAGCAGCTGGGCCCATTTCTGATGGTATTTCAGGGAGGAGAGAATGAGGGTTATGCAAATATTGCCGCAGCTGCATCTTTTGTACAGCATGGTAGGCTAGAGGCATAGACCTTGTTTCGGCCTCAGTTAGGCAGGCTATAGTCTAATTACAGATTCCTAAGTTGTCACCGTTTTCCTCCACTTTCACTGCTTTCTTCTGTAACTTTTTTCCACTGACCCCCTTGAAGAATTGTGCTCAGTGTTTTAGCCAATTATCCAGGAAAAAAAGAAAATATTATTCTATATTAGTCCTGATCAAATTCTACATATTAGCTAAGGCGGCCACTATCAGAACTCTTGTCATTGGAACAAATCATTGCCAGGAAATTATACATGCTATATACTCATAAGCAACAAAGTGTTTGTGCATATTCCAGTAGGAGGGTTATAACATGAACAAAGCAGCAGGATCACAAGGACATTACAAGAATAGGAAGCCTGCATGATGTTTCGACAGGACATAGGCTAGCCCTAAAACATCTCAAGAGTCTGAAAACACAAACTAGGTATATTTCTAAGGGCAGGAATATTTCAAAGACAACAGGCTTACACCTCAGTATATACACACATACAGCCATACACTCAGGTGTGCTTTCTACTTCAGCTGAGCGAAGTCTGGACACATGATAAATACACTCAATTATGCTTCCATGGAGTTCTTTTCGACTCTCTTTTGTTTGATTCAGTCGGTAGTCATCGGTTGGGAGATGCAACACCGAAATCGGGCCTTGCGGACAGTGATCAGGATCTCCATCTCAGCATGCTCCAGCATCCTCACAACTTCAGTGAATAGCGGACGGACATCAGGATTTGGATCCCAGCACCTGGTCATGATCTCACCGAGTGTGGGCAGGCAGTCCTGGGGTATAGCTGGGCGGACACCCTTGTTCACCACAGCGAAAGCAGCCTGCACTGCTGTCATGTTAGCAAAAGGGAGCATGCCAGTTATGAGCTCCCACAGCACAATGCCAAAGCTGTAGACATCAACTTTCTGGTCATATGGCCTATGCTGAATCATCTCTCTGCAAGATTAAAAAACAATATGTAAACATCTACAATTCTTCTTTTATAACTTTGTTAAATGTGTATGCATGAATGACTTAGATTCAAACAAGAAAAACGTACGGCCAATGAGCAGCTGGGTAAGCAAATTAAAGAAATACATAAGTTACTACTCCCCCCATTCCAAAATGTAGGTCATTTTAGTTTTACCCTAAGTCAAACCTAACTAACTTTGACCAAGTTTATAGAAAAATGTACCAACATTTATGACATCAAATTGGTTTCATTAAAATCCACCATGAAATGTCCTTGAAGTGCATTGATTTGGTATTGTGGATCAGTGGATGTTAATATTTTTCTATGAACTTAATCAACGTTAGAGAAGTTTGACTTAAAACAAAATTAAAAGTAAAACAGCCTACAGTTTGGGACGGAGAAGTACTATGCAACAACTGTTTTAAAACACTGGTGCGGAAACTACTAATTATTTTAATTAACACTGGCGCGAAAAACACCTGTTTCTATAAACTTTACAGTAGGTGGTGTTTTAAGAGCAATTATTTTCTTTTCAGTAACCACTAATTATTTTTGCCAACGAAAGAGGAATATGTGAAATGTGAAATGTGATATAGTTTTCAGTTTGTCTTAACACATCTGGAGATAACAATGTAATAAACCCACATCTATTCTGGGATCAAAGCTTCTGTTAAATATTCAAAGACAACGCATCAATTTACATTCTTTCAGTGCCAAAGCAGCTCAACAGGCAAATAATGCCAAAAAAAAGTAGCAACGAACAAAAAGAATTCCTGGATAAGCATCATGCGAGCAACCTGCAAACACCTTAAAATCATAAAAGTCCAGTATAAAAAAATATATGTGGAATTACATAATCCATACTTTCATACTACTGATCAACACTAATGTTCGATATATGATGTGACTTTTAATTTTAATTAATATCATGTGGCTAAACAAGCTCTGGAATTAGCACCAACAATGTCAGAGTGTTCAACTTACGGTGCCATCCAACGGTAGGTTCCCGTTTCAGGTGTCATCCCCTCAGTTTTTACTTCAATCCGAGCTACTCCAAAGTCAGCTATCTTGATAGATTTATCACCAGATATCAAGAGGTTATCTGACTTAAGATCCCTATGGATGAACCCAAGACCATGAACATATGCCATCCCCCTTGCAACATCCAATGCTTGCTTAACCGCCAGTTTTAGTGGAACTGACCTATTCTGCCTCTTCGCCAGAAACTGCCTAACCGATCCACCCTTGGCATACTCCGTCACAATGCACCAAACCACTGGCTTCCTGCATGCTCCAATAAATTTAACAATGTTCTGGTGCCTCAAGGTTGCAAGCATCATAACTTCTTGCACAAACTGCTGCTCCATTAACCCAGCTCTCTCCGGATCAGCCTCTGGCCTCTCCAAAAGCTTAATGGCAACATCTTCACCATTGTAGGTACCCCTGTAGAGTTTTCCAAAGGCGCCCTGTGCAAAGGGCATTCCCATGTGGAGCTTGGCTAAGTCAATTGTCCAGTCCTCATAATCCTTGAGCGTCTCAGTTGGGTACCTTGGGTCCATCAACGCTTGTGCTAGCGCATCATCGCTCAAGGCATGAGACACCCATCCATGACGGAAAATACTGTGCCCACCGACCGAGTAATTGCCAACAACAGGCCCCTTGAGGCCAGGATGATTGAGCATCCTAGTATGGGAGTCGCAGGACCCTACACTGCTATTGTCCACAGACATTGCGATGGAGCCACCATGTGTGCTGGTCTGCATGCTGTTAAGGCTATCTATCGACATGTTTGAGCCCTCACCAAGCTTCCGATAGTATGCCATGTCGCAAAAATTCCCACCATTGTCATGACCACCAATCATGCCAGCGAAATTGGGGCCTTCCACCATCATGCAACAACCAAATGTTCTCCTTTTCTCTGCAGTTCACCTGTCGCCCTGTTATCTTCCTCACACCGCTTGGAGGTAAAGACAGAACCTGCACAGCAAGAGTACATCAGAATTAAGAGCTAAATTCTAGGTATTGCAAGCAGCTGTAACTAGGGTCTAAAAGTTACGAACATTTAGAGTTAAAAATTCAAGAAACTCTTTGAAACAGCTGCAGGCACCGAAACTATTTCAACCCAACCTGGAATGGGAACTTCACCTCTGTCCGCAAAATGGCCAGAAGCCGACGAATTTGAGCAAGAGTGCAGCCAGTAAGCATCCCAAACCCACAAGAAAACCATGTAAACCATCACGAAAGCTGCAGGCTTTCCAACAAATCACCAAGCCCCGCCCAAAACAAAGGGGAAACGAAAAAAAAACGCGCAAACCAGACCATCTTTCTTCGCCTGAGGAACCTAGAAACCAAATCAAACACCAGGAAGCAACCAAACACCTCCACCAGAACCCCACCCGGACCAAATCCCAAGCTCAGACCACCTCCAGAAACTAAATCAAGCTGAGACGCGGCCCACGAAATCGCACCTCGCGAAGTCCACGGTTTCCGGCGATTCGAGGGTCGATCGGAGCGAGGCGGCGGCGCTGAGGCGGGGGGCCGCGTCCGGGAGGCGGCGGCGCGGGCGGGTGGGCCGCCACGGAGTCAGAGCGGGGAGACGGGGTGCGATGACCAGAGACCAGAGGAAAGGGGAGGAGAGAGAGAAGGCCTCAGGAGGGGAGAGGACCGGAGGAGAGAGGGGGGAGACGAGACGAGTGGAGTCGCCTCTCGCTTTTCTCTCTCCTGGTAGTAAGTGCGGGGTGTTAGCAAGGGTGAGCTGGTTAATTGCTCGCGGCGCCGCGACAGGGTTGGTTTGGATATTATCTTACTAAAACCGAGGGTGTTTCTGTAAACTTTTCCTCTGCTGCCTGCCTGCCTTCAAGTCTCAAATTTTAGTCCAGGGGTTTATCTGTGAATACCGTACCGTCAGGAGGATGCACCCGCGAAAATACTCCGGTAACAGCAGCAGCCCACGTGACGTGACACGACTGGAGGCCGTTGGTGTCGTAATCAAAGAGGGAGCACGGCGCGCACACCGCAGCATGCTCCATTAATTTTGGCAGCAGGCCCGGCTAATAATAATCTCGAGGGCTTTTCGTTACGGTAATGCTATAGATCGGGCGTTCGAGCTTCCGGACGCACCGTCCCGTACTCGTGACTCGCACACCCACTAAACGATCGTAAATTTTTAGTCAGAAATAGTGTTTTTCTCTCACACCAAACCAACCAGCAGTAAATAATTCACGATACGATACGGCCTCCCGAACAGGCTATCTGTCCGTTGTCCCTGTCGCTCTGTCCCGCACTCTGTGCATGTTCTTCCGCCCTCGCTCTCTCCCGCCCTCGCTCTCCGCGTCGCACGTTGCCGCGCGAGCTCTCTCCCTCCCTCAGTCCCTCGCCCGTGCTCCCTTCCTCCCTATGTCTCTCGCGCCTCCACGACCTCCATGCACCCCCACTCTCCCTATGACCTGGCTCTCGTACCCTACCGGAGACGAGGACGACGACGACGGCTCCGACAAGGTACATCGCGGAGGGATCTTGATCTAAGGCTCCCCCCTCTCCTCCTCTGGATCTGGATCTGAGCCCTCCTCCCTCCTCCTCGAATCTGAGCTCTCCTCCTTCTACTACTACTCCTCTAGATCTGGATCTGAGTGACGCGGCGGTGGCTAGGGTTCCGACGAGTTCTGTTACAGCAGACTTGTGTTTGCTGTTGCAAAAGCAATATTTCTTTGTTGCATTAGACTTTTTTTTCCGATGTTGCTTCTCGCATTTGCGTTTTTGTTTCTATTGTTGCAGTAGTGTTGTTTCGCTGTTGCAACAAGTAGTTTTTTTTTGTTGCATTATTTTTTTTTCTTATGTTACATCTCGCACTGCCCTTTTTGTTTCTGTTGTTGCAGTAACTTTGGTTTGCTG